AAATCTAAATACTTTTCCTTATTATAAAATGTTTATGAAGGACTGTTGCGTCCATTTGCAATGTTACGTGTATATGATTTATCAAAGGTAGGCAGAGTATTTACTCTCAGCCAAGTTACTTGTAAATTTATTCAGTAGTGGAAAAGGATAAAAAAATTGGACCCCCCCCCCCTTGCAACCCAAAATACCAACGGTGTAGTCCTCTGCCGTGCCAAGAGAGATAACTATAAATTATTCACACTGATCAACCTACCTTAAACATTATTTAATGTCCGACAGTGTGGAGCGTCCGACAACAGTGTCAGTTAAACAAAACAAAACAAAAAACCTCATTCATGAGAGAATGTTGAATCTAAGCCTAACATTTCACTTCCTGGAAGTATTTTTAAAGCAGATGATTGAAAAAAAAAATGAATTTAGGATTTTTATAGATATATCTACATGAAGTATATACTTAAGATTGACAACAGATATATATGTCAATATCTGACTGTTTTGTCAAGTTTGTATCACATTGAAATGAACTACTACAATTCTACATGGTTCCATTCTGAAAGGACACAATATAATCGTTGGCTCTTAAAATGGATAGTTTTGCATTTCACTATCTAAGCATAACAAAGACGGTAAAATGAAGTTCTTGCAAAACTACATACTAAATATATTAAGCGTACTTCCTTGGCAGTAAGTTTTATGGGGTTCTTCTTGAGCAAGAGGCCCATTGGCCTTAACGCTTACTGAGTAACCCACCCTAACTCTAAAGGGTCTCTGAATCCACACAGTAGGGATGCTTAATATCAATATGACTAACAATGTCTTGCTGTATTGGAGAAGATTTTTTTCCCTGTATACATGCACTATGTAAATAGGAAGAACGGAAATTAGTAATCAGCTGCATGGATTTTTTTTTACCGAGTTTCTTCTCTTATTGTATCAATTTTATTTCTTTTTGAAATCAAGTATAGTTGAATGCATTTCCATGTTAAATCATTATTTAAGTTCAAGTACATAAACCTTTTCTAAGAAACTGAACGTGCTTGCAGTTGATGATGAGTTCATATAAATTGACATGACTATTTTGCTGTATGTTTTCATTCATTCTGTCATGGTAAGGAAAGGTAAGGATTCGAAAGTATATAATTTACTGCACTGTCCGTCTGTAGTTAAGTGATATATATATTACGAGATCAGACAAAACCATTAAGTAAGGCCGAAAATCTTGTCAGACTTGCAGAATTCAAGTTCTTGATTTTAAAACTTCGTTTTCGCTGGGAAGCAAATGATGGAAATGTCCGATGTTTTCTAGTCCAGACGAATAGAGGAAAAGGCCTCACGGAAGACTGAACAGAGCTCTTTTTCCAAAGTTACCTTTTGGGGAATTTAATCTCATGACCCAGGAATTTTGAACATATAATTCGTGAAATTATTATTCAATGGTCTTGGCAACCAAAAATCTAAAATAAATTGCACTCGATAATTCAACAGAAATCAACGCCGGTATATCCAGGCTAGCTAAAGAGGTAAAAGCTAAATTACATGCCTATTTTAATGCAGTATTACTTGAAAATATTTTGGAGAAAAAAAATCTTATTTATTTCGAAAACAAAATTATTCCCTTTTACAAAACCCGAGTTGTGAAGTTATCATTCATTCACTGATGAAATGAATCGGGGTGTTATATGCCGGAGCACTAAACATTAAGGAAATTGGTAATATTTTAGTAAAACTTTAGTAAAATTACAAATATTTTTTTCTAAAGAATAGGGCCTACTGGACCGGTTCACAATGGATGTGCCATTTTTTTTTCTCAAACTCATTAAATTAAAAAAAAAAAAGTATAGTTCATCCTACCTCTCAGGTATTTCCAAATTTTCTTGTACAACGGATATATCATATAACTTGGCTCTCTCTCTTTATTTAATGTTTTTTCTGGGAGATTAGAGATATATAACAAAGTTATTAATAGGATTAGATCATACGGAGATAATAGGCGGATCCCTTGCTGTTTGGCTTTGCTACAATGCTCAATTAGAGAATTTGAGTAATTCAAGATTTAAAGCAAGCCTTCCGATAATGAAAGGGGTCTTAATTAATAACCATTGTAATATCTCAGACTGGACTATTTTTATTTGAATTTATGAATATCTTTTAAAATCATCGCCAAGAGGTAATCTTCAAATAAAGGAAATGCACATAAATCGAAATACAACATGATATGAGGTTCTAAGATGCATCAAATGACAAGATTTCATGATCTTAGTTCTTATAGAGAGCAAAATATTAAAATTTTAACAAAACATAATTTAGGTCAAATTTGAACTTTGAGACCATTGCCCTTTGCCCCAGGGTGATGCCTTGAACAATTTTTTTTATTTTACAGCTTATCTCCATCGTTATGCATAAGTTTGGTGATAATCTGCCCAGTGGTTCTTGAGAAGAAGATTTTTAAGCAACCACTACTTTTGTCTTTATTTCCCTATCTTTGTATAAGGGTCACATCCCTAGTATAAATGAAAGCCCTTGGGCCATGGATACTCTGTGACAAATTTGACAAAAATTGGCCAAGGGGTTCTTCAGATATGGCCCATTTTTCAAAAAGTTTACGCATACCTCACAAATGGCCATTACATTAGCTCTTGCAGCCTTCGGCTCAGAAGAGCCAAAAATCAAAATTAACTTTTTCGATCATTATTTTTCCCTCCCCTCAAAATTCTAAATTTAAAGAAAAAAAGTCAAATTAAACTAAAGATATTGAGCTCACAAAATTATACACCTGCTGCTTTCTAAGATTTTTTTAAAAAGCGCCTACGTATATACAATTTAATTATTTTGCTAAATCTGTTAGTGACTTTGAACCTTGGGCCAAGGTCATGACGCACCTTCAAGTCATAAGCAATCTTTGTATGAGGTATGAACTTCCAATGTTTTTCATTTGAAAATTGTAGACGAACAAATTTTATACTTTCTGCCAGTGGCTCTGAACTTGCTGGTATGACCTTGGGTTAGAATAGTGACACATCTCAGGTCATAAACAATCTTTGTTCCTAGTATGAGCTTCCAATGATTCTCCATTACAAAGTTATAGCCTGGACATGATTGCACAGATGGACAGACAGCTGAACAGAAGGACAAACAGGCAGACAAGTTGATTCCTATATACCCCCCCCCCCCCCAAAAAAAAAAAAAAAAAAAAAAAAAAAAAAGAGGCCAATGCTCACCTGAGTAACTTTGGCCCTGCTGTTCTTCACCAGACTTTCCCCCCATGTAATACATGTACCTATTGTGGCCCAATCCAATCCCTAGGGGTCATGATTTTTACTATTTGTAATCTACACTACTCCAGGATGCTTCCACATAAATTTCAGTATTTCTGGCCCAGTGGTTCTTGAAAAGGAGATCTTTAAAGATTTTTCGTATATATATATATATATTTCAATGTAAAACTTGGATTCCCTCTTGTGGCCCCACCCTACCCAAGGGGGGTCATGATTTTAACAATTTAGAATCTACACTACCCCAGGATGCTTCCACATAAGTTCTAGCTTTTCTGGCCCAGTGGTTCTTGAGAAGAAGATTTTAAAAGATTTTTTCTATATATTTCAATGTAAAACTTGGATTCCCTATTGTGGCCCCGTCCTACCCCAGGGGTCATGATCTTAACAATTTAGAATCTACACTACCCCAGGATGCTTCCACATAAGTTTCAGCTTTTCTGGCCCAGTGGTTCTTGAGAAAAAGATTTTTTTTTTTGAAATTTTCTATATATTTTAATGTAAAACATGGATTCCCTATTGTGGCCCCGCCCTACCCCTGGGGTCATGATTTTAACAATTTAGAAATCTACATTAACCCAGGATGCTTCCACTTAAGTTTCAGCTTTTCTGGCAAAGTAGTTCTTGAGAAGAAGATTTTGAAATTTTTTCCCCATGTATTTCAATGTAAAACATGAATTCCCTATTGTTGCCCCACCCTACCCCTGAGGGTCATGATTTTAACAATTTAGAATCTATACTACTCCAGGATGCTTCCACATAAGTTTTAGCTTTTCTGGCCCAGTGGTTCTTGAGAAGATTTTTTAATGACCCCACCCTATTTTTTCCTTTTCTTAATTATCTCCCCTTGTAAGGGGGCTTGGCCCTTCATTTTAACAATTTAGCTTCCCCTTCACCCAAGGATGCTTTGTACCAACTTTAGTTAAAATTGGCCAAGTGGTTCTTGAGAAGAAGTTGAAAATGTGAGAAGTTTACAGATGGACGATGGGTGATCCGAAAAGCTCACTTGATCTTTCAGCTCAGGTGAGTTAAAAAAACTTAGTTTGTGGGCATATAAAAATTATCAGCCTCAAAATGAGCAAGATATGATCTGAAGAGGTTTCAGACTGCATTCAGTCCTGTATATGATGTTTTACATTGTTTGCTAGTTTATGAGATATAATATGCTTCACTGTGCTAGATAATTTTTTATTCGATTCTATGTGAAAAATTCAATTTCAAAATGATTTCATCCTTATGTATTTTGGAGTCAGTATTTGAAAATTCTACCTGGAGTACTAATTAGAAATAAATCTACAACCTACTGAAAATCCTTGTGATTAAATCTTTACCAGAATTAACTTCAGTTTTTATGATTCAGTGTGAGTTACTTTTGTAAAGAATTCAAATTAGCAAAACTTGTAATGAGAAACAACTTATAAAACAAAAGAAAACTTTACTCATGCATTGCATTTACTTAACTTGTAATTGCTTAACTATGTTTGCTAAATAAACATCAATATAGGTACCCAAAATCTAAATCTGACTTAATTATGTTCTCATTTTTATAGTCTTGGAGCCTGATCTTCAATTAATTCAGAATCCTTTCAATAAATCACGCTGAAAAAGTTTGTAATTTTCTGAGAATTTACAGTTCATAAAACTAGAATAGAATGAAAGTAGGTCAATGACGTTGAATGAAGAACCTATTTCCAACTTTTTTGGCAAATAATTAAAAGACAAAACATATTATTTTAAGTACTTTATTGATCCCTCTGGTTTAATATATGTATTTGTCTTGTAACATGTGTCGACCCCAGCAGCAGTATACCGGTAAATAACAGCATTAGGTCAAGTATATAGTACAATAAGGTATACCTGGTAAACAGGTCAAATACTATTTAAAACACACAATTGACATTGGTCAGGTATACAGTACAATACTCAGGTAAGACATATCTGACAAAAAGATAAAATACCATTTACAAACTCCGTATGTATATTGTTTCCCATACTGAAAAATATTAACTAACAGAAAAATTCTGATAGTTTAAAAATAAATACATAAAAATGCCCTCATACTAAAAAAAAAAATCTACCATTTTTCTAAATCAACCCAATCCCTTTCAACTGTGCATGCAGTAGCCACATGCAGAGTGTCATTAAACATCAAAAATATGTAAAAATAAATTTATAAATAATAACAAATAATAGACTTTGCTTACAATTAACAACCAATAACAGTAATTTTCAACTTTCAGTAGAGAAAAGAAAAGTATTTCATAAAAGTGCTTTTTTAAATTCATGTTTTTCATCAGTATCTGTATTGTGGTATAAGTAAATAGAAAAAAAATGTCAATCTATAATTTGCTCATAAATTAAAAATAAAAAATATATAATATATTCAACAAAATAAGTAAATATTAAAATAGACATTGGTCCCTACAGGAAGAAACAACTAGTTTATAGACTTCAGCTGAGGAGGTCCACCACTTCCTGTTCTGGGATGATGTCACTTCCTGTTACTCTTTGAGAGTCTGGTAATACTCGGCCAGCACTTTCCAGGCTTTGGGAGCCATGAATCCATCAGGAGGATTCTGGCCTTCTCTGGCAAGCTTTCTCATACGAGTTCCCGATATAAAATCAAAGTCCTCTTTGCGTTCTGGGTTAAAGAAATCCATCTGTTTTAGTTTAGTGTTATATGCCGCGACTCTGAAGGGAACAATTTCTAATTGTGTTAGCCCTGGTGCCATCGTCAAAACCTGTGCAGAAAATACAAAATTAACTTTCTCTTTATTTCAATACAAATGTAGCTTTGGAAATCTATCTAAGCAAAAGTTTCAAATATATACTATAAACCAACTCTTATCTACATGCTAGAAAGATATATAAGTTTTGCGACTTTCTTTTTCTCGCAGCAAACCATTATTTTCATTGTGTATTTATGTTAAATGTTTCCTCAGTCATGAAAATTAATCATCGAGGATGGAATTCAAACAATATGCACAAATAAAAGTTGTCAGGAATAATAGTTGATTTACTCTAATACTTGCACCCAGAAACAGATTAACAAAAGCAAACAAAGTAACTCTAAATTTCCAAATCAGAATTCTTTTGAAATAGAAAAATATAAGAATATCCAATCTTTTTCTTCTAAGAAATACAAAAAGAGGAATAGTAAATGATAATTTACCAAATAAATCTACACAAGAGGCCCTTAGACCTTGATTGTACATGTACATGAATCATGAGTTTCTCAGCACAGAACAAACTTAGCCTCACTAGGACTGAAACACTGCATCAATGAACTTTACATTCTGGTAGGGTAAACTGATCGCAGGTCGAACGCCTATTTATATTCACCGACGATGTTGACAACAGGGGACATAATGCGTGTCATGAACCCAGAGATGTATCGAAATGTGTACCCAAAGCCTCATTTTAGTGTGTTGTTTACTGTGGCAACTGAATGAAACAACTATTATTAAAGGAAAAAGCCCGAGATACTAAATAGATCGCAAGTCGAACACATTCGACCACAAGTCGAACGGCTAGATATGAAGTCGAACGCCATTTATTCTGAGTCGCGAATTACATAATTGTTGACAGGAAATGCTTTTCATGGCATTAACATATTTAATAGACAAACTTCTGAAGATATTTTTTTTTTCAAATCACTCTCGTCTTTCTCTTTTTATAGATAGATTTTGATTCATACCAAACATTTTTAAGATTTTCATTAAGATATCTTAATATCAAGGAAGATTGTTAAACGTTAATTGTTGGCAATATTGGAAACAATAAATTGAAGGAGGAAAGTAATAATGTAAAATTTAATCAACATCATCAAATTGCAAAATTTTTCATTCAACCTCCACCTTTTCTGTTGGTTTATTTCTCTTTCTATTCTTTTTTCATATTTTTATGTTTTCTCTCTCTTTTTTTTATCCTTCCTTGATCATGTTTGAAAGCCTAATTTGAAGTTACCGCAAAAAAGAAAAAAAAACAACAACTCTGCTTTCTGTTTCCTTTCTGTTTTGACACTGATCACTGTTCGTTATCTTGACCTTTTACAATAGGAAGTCTTTGCTAATGTAACATTTCGAATGTTTCAAGTGTTCGTTTCAGACGAATTTCAGTGGTCAAGACTCAATTTTTTCTTTGAACTTCCACAACTTTCTTTGGTAGGAATAATTTTATTATAGTTCAATTACATTATTCAATGCAAAATAATTTAAATCTTACAATCTTGCCATGAAACAAATTCAATTGGACATATTTTTGTTTAAATCAGAAGACATAAAACGATTTACAATATTGCATAGAAGTTTAATGTGAAATATTTATTTCTTCAGAAAAAATTTTAAATCGTTCATACAGATTTTAAGATCATTCAAAATAAAATATCTCTTAGCTTTTGTTTTTCTTTAAATCAAGCGTTAATCCTCTGTTACGGCCCCGATTTTCTTGAGACCTCAACAGATCTCTTTTTTTTCCTGGAACTGGAGAAAACAAACTTGAAGATTGTTGTTTTTATTTAAGGGGGGGGGGGCAGCTGGAAAAAGAATCAAGACAACTTACCTGAAAAAGGTGAAGATGGGGAACGGGATTGATCTCAAAATAAATTTGTAAACAGGATAAAAAACACAAACCTCCGGAAATTCCAGAGATGGGATCAGATGCCAAGGAGGAGTAAGCACCCCCAGTTGACATGTCACACCCGCAATGAGCCAGCAAAACAAAAAAGTAATTATCCAATTCGAAACTTCTATGCAGTTGGGGGGGGGGGGGGGGGGGGGGGGAGGGCAGGCACGTATCAAGGAATTTTTTCCAGGGGGGGGGGGGGGGGTCCACCCCCAGTCAAGAAATTTCCAGCCCATAAATTTCTTGACAAGAATAAAAGAAAAAAAAGGAAAGGGTAAAATCTATTTTCCAAATGTGAAAAAATCCTTTTTCGTGGTGGTGATGGTGGGGTCAATGTTTTCAAGGGGGGGGGGGGGGAGGTGTCCAAAGTCATTTTTTTATATGTTTCATTATATACTTTAAATAACTCTGAAAATTCCAAGAAGGTCCAGACCCCCTCCCCCATCTAGATCCCTGCATGGGGGGTATCCAACTTTTTTTTCAACAATAAACTTTTTGGCTACAAAAAACAAAACGATTTTACCACGCTGCAAAAAAAAATTAAATAAATAAAAAACAAACAAACAAACACACACACACACACACAAACAAACCCCCCCCCCCAAAAAAAAAAATAGGGGAGGGGTTGCAGCTAGTCTTTTCAATGAACATTTTCCAACTAAATTTACACTAAAATATTGTTCGAAAATATACTTTGTGCTTGTGGATTTGCAGATCTTAAAAACATTTAGCTTTGTTTGCCTTTTCACTGTCGTGGTAAATAAACAAAGCATTACCAACTGTTACATGTATTCGGCTCTGGAGAGCACCGAAAACATGGCAGGAGCAGACCCAGGTTTGTTTTTTTTTTTTCAGAGAAAGGGGAGGGGGCACTACAGTAAAAAAAAAAATCCAACTCGGAAATTTGTTGATAAAAAGAAAACATAGGTAATCAGAGATTACAGAGCTCACCTCAACGAATGTTGTCTTTAAGTAAGGCAAAGTCCCACACTAAACTAATAATCTAGGAGTGTGCATCCCTAGATGCAACATTTATGCAATTTTGGTCTGATAGGGCTTGCAGTTACTTGGGAGTGGACTTATCTGAAAACTTAAAAAACTAGTCACTCATTCAGAAAATGTAAGTCAAATCCAGCATCCGAAGTTTTGAGATTGTTCGTCCCTTGATGCATCATCCATGCAAGTTTGGTTCAGATAGGCCTTATAGTTACTTGGAAATGAGATCTGCTCCAAAAACTTTAATCTGGTCACTCATCCGGAAAATATTGGTCAGATCCAGCATCTGAAGCAAGTCCAGTAGTGTACATCCTTAGATGTATCATCCATGCAAGTTTGGTCAATATAGGGTTTATAGTTACTTGGAAATGACATCTGCTCCAAAAACTTTAACCTGGTCACTCATCCGGAAAATATAGGTCAGCTTCAGCATCTGAAGCAAGTTCAGTAGTGTGCATCCTTAAATGTATCATCCATGCAAGTTTGGTCAATATAGGCCTTTTAGTTACTTGGAAATGGGATCTGCTCCAAAAACTTTAACCTGGTCACTCATCCGGAAAATATAGGTCAGATCCAGCATCCGAAGCAAGTCCAGTAGTGTGCATCCTTAAATGTATCATCCATGCAAGTTTGGTCAATATAGGGCTTTTAGTTACTTGGAAATGAGATCTGCTCCAAAAACTTTAACCTGGTCACTCATCCGGAAGATATAGGTCAGATCCAGCATCTGAAGCAAGTCAAGTAGTGTGCATTTTTAGATGTATCATCCATGCAAGTTTGGTCAATATAGGGCTTATAGTTACTTGGAAATGAGATCTACTCCAAAAACCTTAACCTAGTCACTCATCCGGAAAATGTAGGTCAGATCCAGCATCCAAAGCAAGTTCAGTAGTATGCATCCTTAGATGTATCATCCATGCAAGTTTGGTCAATTTAGGGCTTATAGTTACTTGGAAATGAGACCTGCTCCAAAAACTTTAACCTGCTCCAAAAACTTTAACCTGCTCCAAAAACATTAACCTGGTCATTCTTTAGCTGAAATTGCAGCATCTGAAACCTTGACTGGTACAATGAAACACACTAGAAGCATCCTCCATGCATCTCTGACTAATATAGGCCATAGAAGTACTTGAAAAGAAAACTGCTCCAAAAACCTTAACCTGGGACGCCGACGCCGACGCCGACACCGACGCCGAGGGTATTACATAAGCTCCCCCAACTTCGTTGAGGTGAGCTAAAAAGGAAACTCCTTTCCCCAACAGGAGGATTTTAGCACAAAGTTTGAAAAAAAAAAGATTCTAGACGTCATTACCAAAATAAATAGCCTACATGTAATTCTAAATTTGATATTACGACTAGATGTTTAAAGTTAATATGGATCGCGTAAATTGTGGTTTGAATCATGGAATAATTAAAGTATTGGTGGCAAAGGTTTTTTTAAGGGAAAAAATTTAATTCATTATCTTATATATTCATATAATAATTTTTCTTATCTTAAAAAGCTTTTACTTTCTCTTTTTTTGTGTGGTATTTTGAGGTATTTATCGCTGTATCTAATGTCGAACACTGATCGACTTGCGATCATTTTCGGTGTTCGACTCCATATGATTTTCCGATATTAATTCAATGAACTTTGGTTGATTATTTTGCGAATTATGTATCCAAAATCATATGAAAACAGGTTTTTGAAATAATGATTGGTATAAATTTGCCTTTTAAGGTATTGCTTAGCTCATTAGGTAAATGTTTGGAGCTTTGAAACAACTTTGATAATTCATTTACGACAGAAAATTTGGAGAAATCACCTTCAAATTTCCCGGCACCTAGAACTATTAACAGAAGAGTTCGACTTAGAAAAGATAACTCTAATTGATTAAATGGATAAAAAAAGAAGACAGATAACTAAGAGTTGCCTACCATTTATTGTTTACCAAAAGGTGTAGGTGAGGTTAAAAATGCGTTCGACTTGCGGTCATGTTCGACTTTCGATCAGTTTACCCAGAATGTCTTGTTGAAAATCTCAGTACAACAAAGGGAAATCTTAATAACACAATGTATTTTCAATAATTACTCTCGACCCAGAGGAACAAACTTTTAAATGATGATGGTTCATATTTGATTGTTATGCATACAGCTGCCCTCAAAGTAAGACTTTCAAATCTTCATTTTCAATACACAATCAACTAAGACAACCTGTAATATGAAACCTGGACACTGTGAACTAGAATTTTACAAATTTGATAAAATGCTAACACTTCATTACATTTTACAAGTATGCAAACAGAGATTGCCAACTTAATGTCAGGGAGTTCAGATTTTCAGAGGTATAGTGAATTTACAGTTATGACTAATTAAGCCCTGTCCTGGGGCCTGAGCAGTGGACAGAGAACTTGAATTTCAGAACATGGGTACTTGGAATGTTCCTCATTATAATCATAATCAGTTGCCCTGCTTAATGTCCAAGAAGTTGAGAACATTTTGAAAGATCCACAAATTTTTTTGATATACGACAAATTAAGCCCAATCCTGGAACCTAAAATCTGCACCTAAATTTTGCCTTCAAGATATCTAGGAGTAAGATCCATGTCTAACGAATCCCTAAAATATGACCAACAAATATCCATTCTTTGGACTGAGCCCTAGATAAAATTTTTGGTACAGGCTCAGTGCTCATTATTATCACATAAACAGTAAGGATGCTAGATGACCATGATTAAAAAAGATTGTTTGAAGAATGCTATAACTCTTCATGGTCTTGAACCAACTTCTCCAGCCCAATGGAGGCTGGAAACCATTAAATTGTCAGTTTTGTTTCCCTTCAATAAGAAATGTTGTATGAATGATTCTTTGCAGTTAAACATCCCTTGCAGGATGATTTCACTTATATGAGACATCACCATATACTGGTGAAGGGTTTCAAATTTACAACTTTATTCAGCACAAAAGGCCATTGTCAGAGTAGTGAGGGTTCTTAAGTGTGCCAACACCTGCCATACATGGGGCTGATGTTTGTAAGGTCTCATCCGAAAAACCCATAACTTTCACTTCATGTGTTGAGTGCTTGGGGGAGGAACAATTGCTACCTATTTTATATTAACTTAGCTTTGTTGCAGCCAGGGCTTGAACCTATGATGTTCCCATCATGGCACAAGCGCTCTACCGGATGAGCTTCCATGATGATCAACCAGAGATATGATGATGATGGATGTGAACAGATAGCAAAAGATCCTCTGAGTAACTAACATCAACTAATACACTTTTAATGGTAATCTCACCTTTGCCCCATGTGTATGATCAAATAAATCTCTTGTACCATCAGGGTGAGGCATACCAGCAGGGTCACGACCCACAATGTAGAAGTTGGCCCCTGTTGACATCCTAGCTTTAGCATGCCATTGTACCTGGTCAAAGAATTAGAATTTTGATCAAACCTTTGGTAAGCCCTATCATACCTGTAAGAGGTAATTTTTAATACCTAAAGAACTTCAGATTTATATAAGTGCCTGTGTATACAGGTGTATTTAACAATGTCCTTCTTTGAGAGGCACAACTTACCTCTGTTGGCCCTGCATACATCATTGGAGATGGGAAGATGGCTAGAACTGTGGAGTCTGGATCTAGGACCCTCTCGTCCAGTATAGCTTTGTGTTGTTTCATGCGTGTAGGTAATGGCACATCATCATCCTTCGTCCATCCACCTGTAATGAATCAGAAATTAGTAGTCACAGAGGATAATGGATAAGGGACCACAGAGATTAATAGTCACAGAGGATAATGGATAATGGACCATAGAGATTAGTAGTCACAGAGGATAATGGACCATAGAGATTAGTAGTCACAGAGGATAATGGGTAAAGGACCAGAGATTAGTAGTCACAAAGGATAATGGACCACAGAGATTAGTAGTCACAGAGGATAATGGACTATAGAGATTAGTAGTCACAGAGGATAATGGGTAACGGACCACAGAGATTAGTAGTCACAGAGGATAATGGATAACGGACCACAGAGATCAATAGTCACAAAGGATAATGGATAATGAACTACAGAGATTCGTAGTAACAAATGTACAGATTTTGATTTACCAGTATTCAATATGTTGGAACTTTGACCCTACATGTTTACTCAAAGGAAATTTCATGTTAAGTGCAAGGAATATTCAATGTAGGTTCATATGATATTTTTAGAACAAATTTTTACAATTTTTTAAACATACTTTGCCAAAAGTTGCATATATATTGAAAAAGTCAACAAGAATTAACCTAATCTGCAATCTGTATAACCTATATCTCAAAATTTACTACGCCACTGGCCCCAACTTTTTATTTTTTTTTTTTTACAATAAATTCATAAAAGAAAATATTATTATATTGAGAGTTAAGATTTTTAAGACCAAAAGTATGATACACATGTATTTTATTGATGCAAAAAGGTCATGCAATTATTTATGCACATTAATTGGCATTTTTTTTTCTTCTAATATCATATTTTATTTAAGATTAAACATGTATTTATTGCCAGGATTGTATCTTCACAGTCTTACCCAGTGGATATAGGAGTAACACAGACTTGCTGTAGCCTTTCTCTAACAGCCTACATTTGGTGATAGATGTGGACTTACCCAGTAGGATGTAGGAGTAACACAGGCTTGCTGTAGCCTTTCTCTAACAGCCTACATTTGGTGATAGATATGGACTTACCCAGTGGATGAAGGAGTAACACAGGCTTGCTGTAGCCTTTCTCTAACAGCCTACATTTGGTGATAGATATGGACTTACCCAGTGGATATAGGAGTAACACAGACTTGCTGTAGCCTTTCTCTAACAGCCTACATTTGGTGATAGATATGGACTTACCCAGTGGATGAAGGAGTAATACAGACTTGCTGTAGCCTTTCTCTAACAGTCTACATTTGGTGATAGATATGGACTTACCCAGTGGATATAGGAGTAACACAGACTTGCTGTAGCCTTTCTCTAACAGCCTACATTTGGTGATAGATATGGACTTACCCAGTGGATGAAGGAGTAACACAGGCTTGCTGTAGCCTTTCTCTAACAGCCTACATTTGGTGATAGATATGGACTTACCCAGTGGATGAAGGAGTAACACAGGCTTGCTGTAGCCTTTCTCTAACAGCCTACATTTGGTGATAGATATGGACTTACCCAGTGGATGAAGGAGTAACACAGGCTTGCTGTAGCCTTTCTCTAACAGCCTACATTTGGTGATAGATATGGACTTACCCAGTGGATGTAGGAGTAACACAGGTTTGCTGTAGCCTTTCTCTAACAGCCTACATTTGGTGATAGATATGGACTTACCCAGTGGATGTAGGAGTAACACAGGCTTGCTGTAGCCTTTCTCTAACAGCCTACATTTGGTGATAGATATGGACTTACCCAGTGGATGAAGGAGTAACACAGGCTTGCTGTAGCCTTTCTCTAACAGCCTACATTTGGTGATAGATATGGACTTACTCAGTGGATGTAGGAGTAACACAGGTTTGCTGTAGCCTTTCTCTAACAGTCTACATTTGGTGATAGATATGGACTTACCCAGTGGATGTAGGAGTAACACAGGCTTGCTGTAGCCTTTCTCTAACAGCCTACGTTTAGTGTCAGCCATCAGTAATGCATGGCCATTGTGTATAGGATTGCGTAGTTGAAAAGCAAATACTGCATCAGCCTGTAAAGTAAAATGTTTGTTAACTCAGCACTTCTTCCTTCTTATGTCATATACATGTAACAATATAACAATCCTGTTAACAGTTAAATGAAGACCTACCCCTAATTCTCTGAACTTGTTGCGTAGCTCCATTGGGGTGAGTCTGTATTCATCCAGTCCATCATTCCATCTTATTCTCTCTATCACAGCCAGATCACCCCCAACAAGCCAGTCTCCACTCTCATAGATCATCTATACACAACAAGTACACAACAATAATAAACATAAGGATATCATTTACCCCCAACAAGCCAATCCCCACTCTCACTGATCATCTGTATACAACAAATACACATGTGGTAGACATAAGGATTTTTTAAAGATTTACATTCCAAAGTTATTTTCCCAATAATTATACTTCAAGCTTATTATATATTTGTTTCATTTCACATTTGACATTTACAAATCATTGCATGGCCCATCATTAATGGAGCATAGTGGAATAAACTGAGATTCGTCTATTAAAGTAGCATTATCAAATACATGTAGCTCTTACAGGGAAGAAATACAATGTAATATTTAGAAATGATGAAATTTGGGCATAATTATTGAAAAATATATAGTGTTAAATAATTATTTTTGCAACTTTCACTGCCGTATGTCAAATAAAATGTTCAAAATTATTTGTTATTGAAATTTGCTCTTCATAGAGCAATTTGTTTAAAAATAATTCATTACTTCATGAGCAACTAGTAACTTATTTCACCTTCATGTGCAATTCCTATTCCAAATAGGACTGGACTTAAATTCAGTTCAAAGAGGAATTTTCAAAACTTTAATATTCATACTTTTCTGATTTGTAAATTTAGTATTTGCCATTTTTATAAATGTCCTTCAGCTGACCTTGACATATGGATGACCTCTGTGACTGGTCCCAAACTGTCGGCAGCAACGTTCCTCCTTGTTGTGTGGATAAAACTCTGGATTACGTAAGATGGCCACACTATTGCCCTCGTACTTCAGGGTGAAGGCAGCACATCCATCTAGCTTCTCTTTGTCCTCTGTACACACCGGTAAAACGATTGGGATTGACTGATTGGTCACTCCACCTAACAAAGGGAGGATGCTGTTAATATTGTGTTCAATGTAAAATGTCTGGAACGTACCAATTTACAAAACTACATGGTCCTAAACCGAGACTTCAAAAAAAACCTGATAAAAAAAAAATCCAGAACAATTACATAATACATGAAATTACTGGCTTCATTTCAAAAAAAGTCCTTTCTCATTTATCTCTGTAAATTACTTTTCACTCTCTTAGTTTGTTTGTACTTTTATTATGACATACCATCCAACAGACAGCCAAAGTGTTGACTTTGTAGATACTCTCTTTCCCTCATAAAGCCACTAAGGGGTGTGGCCCAGCCCTCTGATAAAACCTGGGTCCACTCCAAATCCAGCTGAAATAGTTAAGCACTGTACATATGAAATATCAGTAGTCTAGAATGTGTTTCCTGTACTATTTTAAAGAATCTTAGATGTATTTTAATAATCAAAGTCCTTGTTGATGTTGACCTGTCCCCCTACCTTGTTGATATTGAGGGCTGGCAGTTGTTCTGCCTCTGCCCTAGTGACCTCAATCCGATTCTCAGGGACAAACAACTCCCTCACATTCTGTACAGCCCCAGCTGGTACCACTTCCTACCAAAAAAAAAAAAAATCAAAATTCATTGTCCTAATAAAGTGGAACAACTCACAACAGTCAAAAATTCTCTATTCTATGACATCTTAATACCCCCCCCCCTTTCTATATATTCCTTTATATTATTACTTTCAAAGTCGCTTGACTGCCAGTGATCCCCAGCTAGATCTGGAGTTTTGATTCTTATAAAGAGATACTCACAATATCCACCAGGTGAGACACAATGTTCTGTACACACTCGTCCACGGTATCTTTGCCTGCCTTCAGAACTACCTCGGGATCATCTGGGGCTTCATAAGCTTGATCTACTCCAGTAAACCCTACAACACAAACACTGATCTGCCATTCAGAGAGAGAGAGAGATTTACTGATGTAAGTTCCCTAAGTTCTTAACGCTTTCTAAATGGTTGTTCATCTACAGTTTTTATCAGCTAGTTGTAAAGAAGCCTGTATATACACATAATTTATTTGACCTTTGATCTCCCCAGCTCTTGCCCGCTTGTACAGTCCTTTCACATCACGTTTCTCACAGACTTCGATCGGAGTGTCTACAAAACACTCGACAAACTTCAGTCCCGCTGCCTCGTGGAGTTCACGAGCACGTTCACGATCCTATAAAAAGACAAATAAAATTTCTTTTAATTTAACATCTGAAACATACATTAAACATCTTCAATATCTATAAATATGCTGACTGCTTCAAACCAAAGCTTCCAGATAATAATTTTGAGATAGTTTATAAATCCATCTGTCTACAACATATTCTTGTGACATTTGTGTCACTAGAAATCAAATCACTTATGCTGGTATCTTTCAGAGGTGGTGATTTTATAAAATAAGCATCATTCATGGAGGGTTAAATGTGCATGTGTTTATTTGACATTTAAAGAAAAAGCCTTTGTAAATATGAAAATGTTTGAGTATTAAAACTACTTTAAAATATCATTAATTTAGTAAAAATAGCACTATTAAAGGTAAGCCATGGGCAAAAAAAAACCAATTTAAATCCCACTGTATGTACTGGCATTCACCATCTGATTGACAGTTTATCATTAAAGATAAACCAACTTAAGGACAGGAGAGTTTGTACATGCTTCATTGTTGCTGAAACACATATTTATCACAAGATCTAAAAGCTATTCTAATTCTTTAAATAGAATTCATAGAAAAAAAATACACCAAGCATCAGATGAAGTTGGACTTCTATGAATAAACACTGAATTTCCCTTTATGTGATCACACAACAATGTAGGTCAATCATAAATACCGAAATACAAAAATCTCCAGGAAATCCTTGTGATAAATATGCTTTAGCAAATTGTTTTTCAAATTTCTGTTAAAATTTCTCTTTGATTATCCTGTCCTTACATCACTGAGCTTAACCAGGACATACTCTGTTACTGAACATTCAATTAATATAAAATCAAGTTTTAAGCTTTGCATTAACTGTTTGGTACTTCTATTAAAAAATAAATTGTGACCATGTGTTAATCCTCCTTTGTTTCCCACTTACTACATTACACAATCATTAACAGATTGTCTGTCACTATAGCTGAGCAAGTAACAGGCTTTGGGAAAAAAAAGACAGATGATATCTGACTGATTACAAATGATCATGTTAATATTAAAATATAATACTTATCAGGCTTGAGGCAAGACCATAAATTGAGAAAAGATTTAAGTCATAATTTTCAGATTTTCAGTATTTTAAGATTTATTGAATAAAAAGAATGAAAAGTTGCAAGTTTGTAAAGTATTCAAATAAAAACACTTAATGATAATTAATGGAATCATCTGATGAACTGTTTCAAAAGTTATTCATCTGTTCATATTTGAAATTTTGACTTAAGTCTGTTCTCAGTTTGTGGTCTTTGGGCCTGATGACAATTTATACAGGGAACATAAAAAAAATCCCCAAAGAAAGTAGATGTGATCCAAAAACTTTTAATCATCTAAGTTCTACAATCACTGCCTACTCGGCTGGGATGAATATCTGAACAGTAGTCATCTAAGTTCTAAAATCATTGCCTACTCTGCTTGGACAAATATCTGAACAGTAGTCATCTAAGTTCTACAATCATTGCCTACTCGGCTGGGATGAATATCTGAACAGTAGTCATCCAAGTTCTACAATCATTGCCTACTCGGCTGGGATGAATATCTGAACAGTAGTCATCTAAGTTCTACAATCATTGCCTACTCGGCTGGGATGAATATCTGAACAGCAGTCATCTAAGTTCTAAAATCATTTCCTACTCTGCTTGGACAAATATCTGAACAGTAGCCATCTAAGTTCTAAAATCATTGCCTACTCTGCTTGGACAAATATCTGAACAGTAGTCATCTAAGTTCTACAATCATTGCCTACTCGGCTGGGATGAATATCTGAATAGTAGTCATCTAAGTTCTACAATCATTGCCTACTTGGCTGGGATGAATTTCTGAACAGTAGTCATCTAAGTTCTACAATCATTGCCTACTCGGCTGGGATGAATATCTGAACAGTAGTCATCTAAGTTCTAAAATCATTGCCTACTCTGCTTGGACAAATATCTGAACAGTAGTCATCTAAGTTCTAAAATCATTGCCTACTCTGCTTGGACAAATATCTAAACAGTAGTCATCTAAGTTCTACAATCATTGCCTACTCTGCTTGGACAAATATCTGAACAGCAGTCATCTAAGTTCTACAATCATTGCCTACTCGGCTGGGATGAATATCTGAACAGTAGTCATCTAAGTTCTACAATCATTGCCTACTCGGCTGGGATGAATATCTGAATAGTAGTCATCTAAGTTCTACAATCATTGCCTACTCGGCTGGGATGAATATCTGAACAGTAGTCATCTAAGTTCTAAAATCATTGCCTACTCGGCTGGGATGAATATCTGAACAGTAGTCATCTAAGTTCTACAATCATTGCCTACTCGGCTGGGACAAATATCTGAACAGTAGTCATCTAAGTTCTAAAATCATTGCCTACTCTGCTTGGACAAATATCTGAACAGTAGTCATCTAAGTTCTAAAATCATTGCCTACTCTGCTTGGACAAATATCTAAACAGTAGTCATCTAAGTTCTACAATCATTGCCTACTCTGCTTGGACAAATATCTGAACAGCAGTCATCTAAGTTCTACAATCATTGCCTACTCGGCTGGGATGAATATCTGAACAGTAGTCATCTAAGTTCTACAATCATTGCCTACTCGGCTGGGATGAATATCTGAACAGTAGTCATCTAAGTTCTACAATCATTGCCTACTCGGCTGGGATGAATATCTGAACAGTAGTCATCTAAGTTCTAAAATCATTGCCTACTCGGCTGGGATGAATATCTGAACAGTAGTCATCTAAGTTCTACAATCATTGCCTACTCGGCTGGGATGAATATCTGAACAGTAGTCATCTAAGTTCTACAATCATTGCCTACTCGGCTGGGATGAATATCTAAACAGAAGTAAGAGTACTGGGATCTGTGACTCACTTCCCCAAATTTACTGTAAATTACTCAATTATTATGTACCTATAGAATTTGCTACTTATTTAGTAATCTCCCATGCTCCAATGCCATTTTCAAAAAACAAAAACTATAAAGAAAGCAATGAACATTAACAAACAAACAAAACCTAATCTTCAAATCTGCACAACAGCTGAATTTTAATACTGTCCTCATACTTTGAAATGATTCATCATTTCTCATTATTAGATGCTGTAATATTCCTAATGGACTGGACTGATGTTAATAGCCACTTGAAACATTCATGATGGAAGTTATTCTTGTAGCTTATTTTTTTTTAAATTTGAATTACAATGGCAACCAAAGAGCTTTCTTTTCTTCTTTTAGATAAATTTTTTCCACTTCATCCCATATTCTGCATGGTAACAAACATATTTTTTCTCAAACCAATCTTTATAAACAGCTTTACATTTTATTTGTTCAATAAACAAACCACTGGCATTAGTAATGCTGAATGGGTCCTCAATAAACCAGAACTTGGCAATATATGATCAAGTACAATCTACTACATGTGCAAACCAATACCAGTACATGTAATAAATACTTTACCATGACCTACCTTTTTAAAGGGGCTGATGAAGGCGGTGATACAAACGATGCCACCATCAGCAAACAGCTTGGCCACCTCCGAGATACGGCGGATGTTTTCCTCGCGATCCTCAGGGGTGAAGCCGAGGTTCTTGTTGAGTCCTGTTCGGATGTTGTCCCCATCCAAACTGTAAGCAGGAATGCCCTGACTAACCAGATACTCCTCCAGAGCGAAGGAGATGGTCGTCTTCCCTGCCCCCGACAGACCAGTCAGCCATATTGTACAGCCCCGGAATCCCTTCTTAGCTCCGAGGACTTTCCCACGCTTGTCTCTGGTGACGTGGTGTTTCTGGAACGCCACATTTGTGGCTCTCTGTATGGCCTAAATTAGAAAGTACATAATGTTTAATCATACCCTTGAACTATACTTTTGAACGAGCTTTTTATCGTTTAAGCTTTTGAAGTGTACTGTACTAAGACTTCAAAGTGTAGATGTGGTACAGAGGTCATGGATTTATACAGACTTTCAACAAATGATCTGGAAACTGCTCCTGCTTGAGCTGAATACAAAATAAACACTGGTCTCCATCTTAATACATCTAACACACATATTACCTTAAATTCATTACACACGTGACCAGGAGGAGAACTGTAAAAAAATGAAATCCAACCCCAGAGCCTGTACTGATCTTTAAGAAAGAGAACATTCCCTAAACACATACACAGACACACACCACTTATAAAGAGGTAAAATAAAGTGAAACAATAGAAACTGTGAACAGAGGGAACAGAATGATTATTATTTAGTGTACTTTTAAAAATCTCTATAAAAAAGTTACATTACAGGTAGCTTTTATGAGAACTTTGAAGAAATGTTATGGGAGCCCCACTAGTTGCAGCATTACCTTGTAATCAATACACACATTATACATTAAAAAGAATGTTTAATGGAACAACTGAGTTCTTCAGATAAACAACATATTTAGCCTGCCCTTATAAAGTAATATACAAAAGTTTAACAAATATCAGTGAAATTCGCAGTGTTCCTCATCAATAGGTACATTATTATATGTATAAAACTCAAAAACTCTACAGACTCCTCAAATCAATTTAATAAAACTTGTAAAGGTGAGAAATAGAGGTATTGATTTTTCCCTAAGATAGCTATGAGATACAGGACTTACGTTTTGAGATATTTTCTCCGACATTGTCAGACAGATCTATCCCACACTGAATGAACTTTAAGGAATGCCACGAATACAACTTTACACCAACACTTATACACAAGCTGTCAAGTGAATGAAAAACGCGGGAGGTACGAGGAGTTCTGTGGGAGATCTATGACCTCAATTTACACATGACTAAATGTTTATACAGTGTAATGTATACATCTGAGAGAAGAAATATACTGCAATTGGTCGTCATGCTTTGGTAAATTCTAATTAGTCAAATAGACTGTGCATATTTGCAATGCATGTAAACATGATAACCTTTACACCTATTTTTACAAAATCCCCTGATCAGCTGATTCTTAATGTGTGTATGCATTATACAAGTCATATAAGTGAAAAATAAATATGAAAAGTTGAATGCATTAAGACAGGCCTTTCAAAATCTGCTGGTACCTGGTAGTTTAACCCCCGGCTGAAATTATGATTGTACTGGCTAAAATATTTGATGGAGAAAAATTTGATAGCATATTTAATTAAAATGGCTTCCACAAGGTACCTCTTATTTTTGTAAAAGTACCACCTGTTTCTAATCTTTTTGAGAGCCCTGATTATCTCTTCTCTTTCATCATTAAGAAGTCTGAATGCTTATTAGACCTACTGTACCTAAAAATAAATATGTCTGCAAAAGTTAATTGGTTTGCATATTTTATCACTCATTGAATAAAATTTTAAATAGATAGCTATTCCCCATGGGTGAATCAAAGATCAATGGGGGGGGGGGGGGGGGCTTAAAAAAAGAATGTACAATCTTGCCACTCTCAGTCACATTTCTGCTATTAACAGTGTGTATCATTGAGTTCATATCAGGAAACACTTTTTTGATCATTTTTTGAAATAACCAATAAAAGCAATAAGTGGAGTGAATACCTAGAGTTTGAATAATCATTAATGAGATCAAAGGTGAAGGTCTTTATCAGCTCTAATGGCTACATACAACTGTAATCATCTACTTAACCCAAATGTACAGTTATATGAGATAATATTTAATAAATCATCTTCTCCTGCTCTACATATGTGTAAAATAAATTTGATATCAGATAATTGAATAGGTCATCCTAAAGAAAGGTAAACACTCTCAAGGTCAAGGTCAAACTCATATCTTAAGTTAGCATGACTATATCAATTTGGATCTTCTCAATTTGCTTATGTGTGAATTTAGACAACGATGATCATCCTAAACAGAAATAATTTTTACTTTCAATGACAATTTCAAAGTCAAAGCAAATATCAATGTATTTAGTGGTATTACAAATTTATTATGTATAAAAATCATCCAAATTTACCTATTAAATGTTAGAAAATTAATGAAGAGAACCTCATTCAGGTATTTAAAAATGTCTCTCATGAGTTAATATCAGAGACAAACAAAGCTAAGAAATGCTGATAAAAAAACACCTAAAATATGAAGATAACCCACAACAGAGCTTAACAAAAGAGCAAAACACTACAAAGCTCAGAATACACAAATATGGACAGACATTATCAATCCCGGATTTTGTCTCATATTCTGACCAGTAAATACATAGACAGACGTATCAATCATTTTCCTTTGAGCCCTATTTTTTTTTTTTGAACAAGATAATCTAACAAAGACAAATACACTAACTGAACAAATCAGTGGAGACTTACATTAAATCTGAGGAAATCCATGCTGGAAGAACCACAATATTTTTGCAGCTTTTATGAAGTTTTTATGGTATAACTAGATAGTTGTGTGGTTTTTTGACAGATTTCCCTACTATTTATACCTGATGACAATTATTCAGAACCTCTCCATTAATATCTGAGTAAGCAGTCTAATTCCTCCCCTCTACCTATTACATCATTAGTGTGTCCTAAATCATACTACAAATGTCACACCACAGAAGTACAGTGGTTAAGTCATATAACTCCTAGTCAGTCAATTTTTTTTATCTTTAAAAATGTTTGTCTTCACAATCCAGGGTAAAAAGGCTGCACTGCATAATTAGAATACATACTGGTCAAACAAAAGGATTGTATAACTGTAATCTTAATTTTCTGTTTTAAGCTTACATCATTTTTTAATGCGAGGCCAGGAACCTGTCATACCTTGACAAATGAGGAAACGCTAAATACAACTTCACGGTCTGTTAAGTCACCCCAAAATCAACAACAAAATAAACAGTGTTTGCTTGATGAATGTGAATGTAATTTCTTTAACAGAAATTCAAGGATTTGAAATACTCTAAGAAGAACCACAAAATATCTTTTAATATCATAAAATAAAATAAAGCAAGATTTTCCCCATATCATATGTTATGGGAAGTATACAGACATCTATTCCAGAGAATTAGGTAAAAATTGTTGAATTTTTACAAATTGAATGACCTGGGATATTTGCACAGACAAATAAGAACAATGATCCCAGTGAGTGACTAATTTACTGTGTTATCTGACCTAAAAGTAAAATGTGGAACAAAATCTAGAACATGACTGAGCACCTCTCAAATCTGGAAACAAGTCTATTTTCTGACCCCATCCTCACCTAGAAAATAAAGACAGCTAAGGTGCATCTTGTATGGTGTAAGCAGATCCAAATTAAAACTTTGATTTTACATAAGAAGTATACAATAAATATATGAAAACTGTAATTGCATTATCACCACTTTCTTTAAAGTCCAAATTATGCCTGATATTCGGGGGGGGGGGGGGGGGGGGGGGGGGTTAAGAGAAGGGGTAGGTACTCTATGTGTTTTTAACTAACTGTAAGGTATTCAAAGCACAGCTTAAAAAATGTCCAACAGTACAAATAGTATATATGTCTTTACAGACAAAAATTTATCATGGGCTGGATTTTTTTTTACCTTTAAAAGTATAACTACAAAAATAAATCAGTGGACCAAAGATTTTAAAAGGCAACATATCACTGTAACAATAAACTGCCAACTTTTAAATATTGTGTCAGCTATTGTATACTCACATAGGATAAGTTAAATGCCATGACAGAATTTATACAGCTGTTGTCTTGATCAGCTGGACACACAATACACACAGTTATCTCACACTCGAGGCCTATAGTGGGGACACACCAACAAACTGCAAGCAGCTACAGCATCTTTGTGTGTGTAAGAACATTATTTCTGGTCCATTTAGAGATCAATATGGAACAGCTTTTTTAGCTTTTGTAAACAGGCTTTAATTTCTCTCTACTGTGAATTAAGTCTTTCAGGCTATGCAGGGGATGAAAGAACAGTCAATACCTTCTCCACTCAAACTTTCGAGTCCCAGTAAAATAACTTAAACAGAAATTTTTGTTTTCATGATATTGCTTGATTTGTTTCTAATAGACATATATTTAACTGATCCTTTCGTCTAATTATGTTAAATACAAAATCTTACTTTCTAAAAAGAATGATACAGAAAGCTTGTTTGTTTGGTTTTTTTTTTGTTTTAACTTCCCTTTCGAGAATTTTTCACTCATATGGAGATGCCACTACTTGCGGTGAAGGGCTTCAAATTCAGACCTAAACTGGCACTCATGGCCATTGAGCAGTGAGTGATCTTTTTTGTGCCAGCACCTACTGCGACATGGTACCTCAGTTTATATGCTCTCATCCGAAGGACCAGACTCTCCACATCCCGCGTACAATGGGATTCGAACCTGTGATGTAAGGATAACTCCTTACACCACGTTTCTAGAGCAAACACTCTAACCACTGTGCCATGCGGGCGACGATACAGAAAGTAAGAAACTGCTAAAGACTGTGGGCATAATCCAAATGAAAAAAACCTACTTTGAATCAAATCAAGATTGCCCCCAAAAAAGAGAGAGTTTCTAATAACAGAGCTAAGAAATGTGTGTTATTTAGAAATTTCATAGTCAGAGGACAATGCTCAAATCATATGGCTGATAATATTACATCTAAGCCTGGTTTATTTATCATAAAATCAGAAAATGCAGTTATGCTCATCATAATAGGTTACCCTGGTGGTGTTCAGTTATTCAGTTATCAAAGGTTACCCTGGTAAGTAAAATAATCAGTGCTGAACTACTACTATAGCTGAAACCACAATATTTATTTCAGAATTTTTCCTTGCCTTACTCTATAAAATTTCCTCAATTTCTCATAAAACATTAGGAGGCAACTGTTGAATTTTTTAAACATATATATTGGCTGCTGCATGATTCAGGGTTACACATTATTTGTTCGATCATCAAAAGTTGAAAACTGACTGCAAGATCTTGACAATTTAAATAAAATTTTAATTCATCAGATTCAGAACTGAAACTATTAAGCACTGGGAAAAACTATATGTACTGTGGCTAATTATAGGTTTTGTGCCCAATCCCTTTGACCATGTTGACATTCATTCATACACTGATTTTATTTCCTAATTTTAGAGTTGTACCATTTAAATATAATATAACTCCTATTCATTATCAGTTGTAGTTCATGAGGATTAGGAACTCTTTCTTTCAATGAAATTAATCTTAAGAGGAAATCTCACTGTTATATATATATACAGTCAAACCTCATTATCTTGAACTCGAAGGGACCAAGGAAAAACTTTGAGATATCTGAGGGTTCAAAATATCAAGGGTAAAATACTCAAGAAATATGTGGCTATGGCTTCCCAGTCAGTTCGACATATTATGGTATTCGAGATGTCCATGTTCGAGATACCAAAGTTTAACTGTATTAAATGAAGCTCCAAAAAGCCTTAAACAAAAGACAGAATGTATATTTTTGTTCCACTGAGATCAAGTTTTATATCTAAAAATCTTCCCTCAAATTGTATAGATTTACTTTAACAAATAATTTCATATTAATTTTATAATCTTAGCATGATGATTATAATGAAGAGAAAACACACACGTATGCACACAAATTTTACACTCTATGTATAGTTAAGCCTATTTTTTCCCATTTCAGACAAATAATTACTATTGCCTGAGGCAGTACTACTAATGGAGCAAAGACTAAGACAATACGAAACATATTTACCGTATTAAAAGCAAATTGTAGATTGTACGCTGACATATTATACATCAACGTGGCAAAATCTCTCGTGCTTGTCTGCGACACACTGGATAAGTAGCTTATATTTGTAATTTATTCATTTTATTTGTTGATAT